AACAGAAAATTGAAAAATTAATTCTTTAAGATGATAGAGAAATAATCTATAAGTAATATTATACAGTGATTCTATCTCAAATATTATAATTAAAGTAAATCATTTTCATATTACTAATAAACAGAAACTGTTTTTTCTCAGACACTCTGTGAAGAGTTTATTAAGAATATCTTATTTAGATTTAGTATAAGCTCTGTAATAGTTGATTAACTCAGATATTAGCAGAACTTAGCAGAAAGTAGCAGTAGTTCAGATTAAGTTAACTCAGAGTAAAGTGACTGAGTTTACTGAGATAAAGCTTTCACTAGTTACTAGTTAGATAATAATAACAATCAATCATATTTAATCTCTCTCACAGATTATATTAATTGTCAGATATGTAATTATATTCTTATATATCTGAGTGTTAGAACTCTTAAGTCTTTCACTGATATTCTCTTATAAAATCTTACTTTCTTTGTAAGATCTTATTACAGAGTCAGAGTAACTGATAAACAAGCTTCTATCTGAGAACTTAGTATCTGCTTAACTGTGTTTCTCTTTCTTATATATTATTATGTGTTCAGATATCTCTCAATGAGTAATCATTTCTGATAAGAAGATAATACATGAATAATTATTTTCTAATAAGAAGATAATAAATATTTTTATAGTATAAGAGGCCTACACTGAATAGATCAGTATTATATTAATAGATCTTATTTAATAAAGATAAAAATATTAAAGAAGGAAAGAAAGAGAAAGTGTGAGAATCAGCAATCAAGATGAATATTTATACATGTATGTGATGATATATGCAGTGAAGCTTCAGGGTGGAAGAATATACACATGTTTGTAGTGACTGAGAATCAGTGATCAGAAATGGCTGAGAATCAGAGCATACACATTCAAGAATAAAGTGATTGAAATCTGTGAAGTGTAACAGAATAGTCTATATGATTGATCAGACACAGCCCATCACAGAAAAGAAAAGAAAAGAAGTAAAAATAATAGTCACTACTACATTGCAGATAATGAGCTTGTGTAAGAAATCTCACTTCTCACAGATTCTTTTCTGAAGGATAACATTGTTATGTTATATATTGTAATCTAACTATGCAAGTTACACTAAATGGATAGATTGAAGTGGCATGTGACTAGAGTAGGTGTAGTAATCACCAACACCCTCCCTTGCTACACTGTGGCCTATAAGCCGCCACCCGGGGCCTCTCTCATCCTCAAATCTTTCAAAAATGCAATAATAATTAATGACATCAATTGAATCCTGATTTCCTTATTAGGAAAGGCGTCTGTACAGTAATAACCATCCCCGATCAAGAAATACATACAAAATTCACTGATTCACTGGTGGGT